TAAACAATGGTAGAAAGAAGTGTAAAATAAAAATTTGCTTCCAAGAAAGCTATACGTTAAAAAATAAAGGAGAGGACACTGCATCTTGACACAGTCCATTCTATCTGAAATTTAATAGTTCTTTCTTTAGGAAAATAATGCATCTCCCCACATGTGCTATAGCACAGGTCCTGTCTCATATAAAAGTTCCTAACTTTTTCAAAAATTTGAGGTTAAACAAAATAAACTCCTCCTTTCTGTTATTGATCAGCCTTTAATATTTAAAGACAGTAAACCTATAGTCCCAGGATTTTCTCTTTGATGTTCACTCTCTGTTTAAAGATTATAAAGGATTTAAAGTAAAACAAGTGAAATACTGCAATTGATGTTAAGAAAAATCCATTATATAGAGCATAGGGTGTTTTTTAGAAAGAAAATTATCATATCTTGTACCATGACAGCTTTGGTAAATCAAGTAATGATGAAATTAATGTTAAATGTTGGACTATCAAAATAGATTAAATACTTATTTTGAATATTTAGAAACCCAACCTTATAACCTTAGCCTGACATTTATCATAATCTATTTTGCATCAGTTAGGTACTAGCTCATTTTCTTAGTCCTCATATCTGTTCCTTCCCCAGATTTCTCCAGTTACTTCATCAGACTGGTCCTGCCACACTGAGGCTGGAATCATATAAGTCTTGAGTCTGAGAAGCTACCATAGTACCCAAGGGACATTCCTTTTATCTGTGCCTCACATCTGTCCTCCAGTGTACTCTGACTTTTATTCATTCCCTTACAAATCATTACAAACCCACCATGTTACAATCTTTATGCTAGGCCCTGAAGATATAATGATACAATGGTAGACAAGATAAAAATGTCCATGACTTTCATGGAGGGCAGTCTGCTAGGAGAGATGTCCACTGAATAAATAATCTCATTAAAAAATTATAATTATAGGGCTTCCCTGGTGGCGCAGTGGTTGAGAGTCCGCCTGCCGATGCAGGGGACATGGGTTCGTGCCCCGGTCCGGGAAGGTCCCACACGCTGCAGAGCGGCTAGGCCCGTGAGCCATGGCCACTGAGCCTGCGCGTCCAGAGCCTGTGCTCCACAACGGGAGAGGCCACAACAGTGAGAGGCCCGCGTACCGCAAAAAAAAAAAAATTATAATTATAAATAATTATATAAATTATTATAATAATATAATTATAAATTATTATAAGTGCTATGAAAGAGAAGTATATGACTCCATGAATGTATTAATCAGGAGACTGCCCTCCTCTGTAGGCTCCAGAAAAGCTTCCCTGAGAAAGTGAAATTTAACTCAAGTCGTGAAGAATGGTTCAGGCAAAAGAAACGGTACTTTTTCAGTTCCAAACATGTTGGTTCCACCTTTGCTGGAACTTTTATTTCCACCTTTGCTGCCTCCTTGCATTTTTCTCTTGAATTTTATTGTATCTAGTTACCAATGCTGACCTTCCTAATCCCCATAATAGTATCAGATAATGTTTATTGAGCTCATACTACTCAGAAGATATCATTCTAAGCGATTTACATAAATGAACTCATTTAACCCTTACAATGACCATATGAGATAGGTTGTATTTCTTCATTTTACAGATGAGAAATCTGAGGCAGAGGCATGATAAGTTACTTATATGAAATTACACATCTACTGGTACTAGTCCTTGCATGACCATCATGTCCCTCATAACTTATCACTCCTATGGAAACTCTAAGGCACCAAGCTACATTAGCAACACTACTGGGCAAAGAATACCAAGACTCCTACATCCTTCAAACTGCTATCATTTTCAACTAGACAGGATCATGCATATTTTCTCCAGCTTTCAGAAATAAGGAATAAAAAATTGACCAAGGTAGCCCACACTAAAACATCCTCAGGAGCAAGAAAAATGTCTTTAGAACAAGTAATACTTTCTTACAAAAATTATTCACCCAGACTATGAAATAATGAAAATGGGGCAAGGAGAAGAATTATAATTTATTTAATTCCTTCTGTACCTCCCAAGGAAGAGGAAGAGGATTTTTTTAAAATTCAAACTCATAAATATTTTGCATGTATTTGCAAAACTAAGTTAATATGTAGTGAATTGGCTATGATGCAGAAGAATCAAAATCAATTATTTTCTTTAAGTAAGCATCTTTTAAATATTAAAGAAAAGGAAATAATTATTAAATGACCGAGGCCTTACTCAAAACTATATTTAAAGTTCCTGTTATGATCAAAGTTTCATTTGTAAATTTATCATTGAAGGTGATGTGAAAAACAATAATTAAGTAGGTGATTGATACAGGTGAATGTATGACTCATAGTTTGCAAAGGAAAATGATTTTGGGAGAAAAGGCTCAGGAAGAAAAGCAGCAAATAATGGGTTCTGGAAGAAATGAAGACCTTTCCTGTCCAAGGACTGTCAGTAGTTCTTTATTACTTGAAGATTAAGGGAATAGTGAATAAAGCTGTCTGCCAGACAGCAGAAATGGTAAGAAATAACATTGTCTCTAAGTGTACCTCACATTAAATTTCTCATAAATAACATTCATAAAATTAAACTTTCTATAAAAAGTTACTAGAAAACCCAACTTAAATCAGAACAATGGAAATATCAAAATAAACCAACATTACAATTGTCACAAACTTGAACAGAATGAAACAGCAGGGTAGGTCAAGTTGTAGAATCGCCTAATTTTATTCCACTTGGTTTTTAAAAAAAAGGCAGATCCAGTACTGAATTAGGAGGAGACTTAGCCAGGTTTGTTTTTGTTTGGTTGTTTTTCTACTTCATGGGTTATTGCAAAATAAACATTTGGTTTTTGCTACTAGGGTTCAGCAAATTTATACAATGAATTTGGTTTCTGGTTCCAGAGATCAAATTCAAGCCATCAAATCCAGTTCCACATTTTTACTAACTGCCCCTCCCCTCTCATGTATATCTCAAATGTATATATTTATACATACATTTTAAAACTCATATTTTGGTATGAGTTTTAATTACTATCCTTGCCTTATGAATCTTTAAAGGAAATGAAGAGAATTTCATTTTGATGAAGTCATACTTAACAGGAAGTTTTATCCAATTTAATTTTTTAACTTACATTTTCATGTATATTTTGGAGTCCCTACTATGTGACAGCATTTAGCCAGATACTTTAAACACATAATCTCACTTAAGAATACTGGGCTTATTTCATTATATATATACTGCCTGAGGACAAGGTAAACAGAATATTTTTTATGATAAAGCAACCTAAGTCCTATCACTGATGGCTTTTTAAGAGCTGTGTGTATGTGTTCACACACACATGTGTGCTAGACAATGGACTCAAACCTATACAGTCTTGTTATAGAATCTTTGCTCTTAACTACTAAGCCACTATATGTTGGGAAAAGAAACAAAGAATGGCTTTTAAAATGAATATAACTGATTTAGGTAATAATAGTAGCTTCTAGAATAAGAGATCATAGTTCAGAAGTCAGTATGCTAATTACTATCAACATAAAGTTATAAACAGACATTTAATGAAAATTTACAATGATAAAGATTTCTTTTCCTTTTGTAAATGTGATTAATTTTCAGAAAGACTAGTTTTTTCTTTTTGGATATTGTATCACCTAACATTTTTGTGATCTTTTTATAGATTTTAAAGATTTTCATACCTAACACCTTATACAATCCTGTTAGCAACACTATAAATAAGGCAAGTATGATGGATAATTTTATATGTCAACTTGGCTGAGCCACAGTGCCCAGATATTTGGTCATACATTACTCTGGATGTTTCTGTGAAGATATTTTTTAGATAAGAATTAACATTTAAATTGCTGGACTGAGTAAAGCAGATTACCCTCCATATAATGGGTGGGTCTCATCTAATCACTAGAAAGCCTTAATAGAACAAACACTGACCTCCCTGGCACAAGGAGGAATTCTGCCAGCCAACTGCCTTTGGACTCAACTTGGAAATCTTACCTGGGTCTACGGCCTACCAGCCTACTGTGCAGATTCTGAATTTACCAACCCTCTATAATCACGTGAGTTAATTCCTTAAAATCAATCAAACAATCTTTCTTTCTCTCTCTCTTTATACACACATACACCATACACCCCCCACCACAAACACACACACACACAGACACACACACATATCCTGTTGGTCCTATATCTCTGGAGAACTCTCAGTAAGACAGAAAGGTAGCTGAAAACTAAGCCTAAGAAAACAGGGGACAGGAATTCAGATTTTTATCTTTGCCTCCAGTCATTCCTAAAAAGATACGAAAATTCTCAAGAAGCTATACTAGAATTCAGTTTTCATACCCTAACCACATAGCCGGAATAATGTTCTTTTCCTTTTAAAACTGTTATTTGACAAAACTAGTCAACTCTGGAAAACAGCTTAGCAGATTCTCAAAAAGTTAGGCAAAAAGGTACCATATGACCCAGTAATTCCACTTCTAGATACATTCCCAAGAGAACTGAATACATGTCCACACAAATCTTGTACATGATGTTCATAGCAGCATTACTCAGAGTAGTCCAAATGTGGAAACATAAATCTCATCAATTGATGAATGGATTAAAAAAAAAAGTCGTATCCATACAACGGAATGATTCAGGAATAAAAAGAAATGAAGTACCAACAAACGCTAAAATGTGGATAAATACTGAAAACATGCTAAGTAAAAGAAGGCAGGCAAAATTCATATTGTATGAATTCACTGATATGAAATGTCCAGATTAGACAAATCCATATAGACAAAAAATAGATTAGTGGTTGTCAGGGGCAAGAAGGGGGTCAATGGGGAGTGAATGCTAATGGGTATGGGGTTTCCTACTGAAATGATAAAAATGTTCTTGCATTAGACAGTGGTGATAATTGCATAAGTTCATGAATATACTAAAAAACACTGAATTGTACACCTTAAAATTGTGAATATTAAGTGAATTATATCTCAGTTAAAAAGTGTTAGAAAATATAAAACTAACCAACTTACCTGCCTTTTTTGTGGTGCCAAACAACGAACAACTTCATCCACCATCACTGGAATATGTAATTTAGTCATCACTTCAGAATCTCTGTCTTGTAACTCCTGAGCTCCAGTTTGATCTGTTTGCTCCTGGGCTTCATATTCATTATATCTTTCTGCTGTAGCATGTATTTTTTTTGGCCAGACACCCAAATTAAATATGCCAGATTCCAACCAGCAAGAAAGAAATTTTTTATAGAGTCTACAAAAATATGGGTATTGAAGCATTCTGTAGATCAACAAATCTAGAAAAAAATTTTAAATATCATGATTGTTGGCTTTTTTCAAAAGAATGTTATAATACTTGGGGGAAAGCAAATTAGTATGAAATATTTAACACAGGAAAAATATGTAAAACTCATGATCTCAGACAAGTGAAGGTAACTACCCTCCTTATGCAAAGCAAGGAACCCAAGAGAACCCCAGAAACTATCTGAAAATACAATTTTTAATGTGGCCTGATAAGCTCTGAGACCATTAATGTTTTAACCATCAGAGATGTGAATATTGATTAATCAGTCATCATTTTTCTGAAAGGGATTAAAAACATTATTTTATTTTAGGTTCACATGGTCTTTTATTTCAAGCTCTTCTAATTGTTTTTCTCATAATGCTAAATCTTCATTTTCAATTTAACTTCGTTTGAAAAATTGTCCCTGAAAAAAGACTATGCATGTACAACCAAAAAGAAAAGGTTATCAGTCTATGAAAATCTTACAGATTTGTCATGGATATGCTCTAACGAAATCATCTCACCATGGCTTATATCAGTGAAATACATATCATTTTAAACTATAACTTTATAAACACTCCACTGAACACACTTTGGCACTTCATAACATTTTAATTATCTGCTCCCGGCCCCATGCCCCCAAAAAAGTAAGTAAATAACTGATACATTCCTTCGCTTTCTCTTACTTGCTCCATTTTATTCTGTAATCTGTAATTCTTTAAAATGGAGAGGAAAAAAGTAATTTATGAAATGTATTAACAGATACCTTTTGAAAATATTATGTTCTTTACCCATGTGGATGCAAGCAACATTTTTGATATTATTAAAGTAAATAACAATTTAACACTACTCTTTTCCTTCCTCATGGATTATGAGTTATTTAAAAGTAAGAACCACACCTTTATATCCACGAAATCAGATGCACACTAGGCGCTTAATACGTGTTTTCTGGAAAAAATAAAAATATAAAAGAATGGATGGATAAATTCCAGATTCTATACAATTAACCTTGCTTTAGAAAATTTTACTTGTCTCACTGACCCTACCAAAAACCACATTCTCAAAATATTTAAGAAACATAAATCTTGATTAAATATGCCTTCCCTTCCTTTTGCATTAGAAAATGAAGAATAATGTTGAAAAGTCAATCACATGTAATGACTGGAAAATAAATAAAAATACATATTTGATATTATATCAATATAATATCAGTAAGATGTAACCTTGAGGATACCAAAGACATAATTCACAGAATTATGTTGTAAATATGACACAGAAAAAATATGGCAAAAAAAAATTTTTAATGAGTGTTTTAAGTAAGATTTTGGATGTTCAGCAATAACAAATTAGCCAAATTATTAATTATGCCTTATGTTTTCCAGAAAGTTTACAAAAGTAAGCCAAACTATGCTCTAACTTAGCATTTCTAACATTATTTCAAAATAAAAGCTATGCTCTAACTTAGCATTTCTAACATTTCAAAATAAAAGCTAACATTTATTGAGCACTTACTAAGTACCACTTACTATTCTAAGCACACTACATGTACAAACTCATTCAATCCTTACCCCAACTCTTAAAGATAGGTACTATTATTATTTCCATGTTGCAGATGAGGAAAACAGAAAAGAAATTTGCTGAAAAGTCACAAAGCTGGAGAGCCAAAGCTAGAACTGTAACATCTGCATTCTATCCCCAGAACTTTTTCTCTTAACCTATATGCTATACACACAGCCCACTGGCTCTATTTAATACACTCATGTAATTGAATGGTACTTTGATTACACTATGACTAGGTATTTGTAGTATTCCATGAATTAAATTCATTTTTTTTAAGGAGCCAATATGTTATTGCTTGGTCCTACTCCACTTGGAAATACAGTATACTGTGGGGCACCCAACAGAGGACACAAGAACGATGTACAGCCCTAAACAGTGGAATATGGAGTATTTAAACAATACAACCAATAACTTATTTGATTCTTTTGCCTATCCAACATATGTAAACAATCTATACTGTATGTTCAGATTGTTTTTTTTATAAAAACAAGCAAACAAACAAATAAAAAGCCCATCAACTCCAATATCAGAATCAGAACCACACAGGAAAAAGCAAATAGGGTAGAAAAAAATGCTTCTTTCAACAGTGCTTCATTTTCTTCTGCATTCAATTTCTTTGTATTTACTCAAATATATTCAAGGTACAAAGCCTCTAGATTTTAGAATACACTAATTGGCTACTAATGTGGGTAAACGTGGAGAAAAGGCCTCAAGAATTAATCTTCCTTTTTGGTTATGTCTTTGAATACCTCCCTAAAAATGGAAGGGCACAAATTCTAAAGGGAGTTCCTTCCCTCTCTTCTGCAGCCCCATATCCCACCAGATAACCCAGAACACTTCCACAGTCCGCTAAGAACTAGCCCCCCTAGACGATTTAAGATAGTTTAACTTCCCTCTGTTCACAGAAAAAAAGCAGGATATCAGGAAACCTAAACTCTACAGCCAACTCTGTGGTTTCCTAGGCAAGCCATTTAACTTTTCTCTGCCAGCAAAATTCAATTTAAACTGAGACCACGGAATTAGCCAGGTTACTCTTTTAAATGTGGGAACACAAAGGTGAGTGATACCTTTGAAAACTACTTGCTCAACGGAGCTACCAATTACCGTCATTGCAGTCAGCTCCCTCTGCAGAGAAAACCCTTCGGAAATTTAATTCCTAAGGCCAAAAATTCGACCTGGAGGCTGGCACCCGAACACAGAGAAAGTGAAAGAGGTCCTAAAGAAAAAGTTAGAATCCATTCTTCTGCGTAAGGATTACACTCTGACAAGGGAAACTGTTTAGAAACTTCTGAACTCAGGACGAATGAGTGTTGAGAGGAAGCGGGAGAGCAGAGGCGCGAGTTTCCTCTGTGCTGGGTGAATCCGGCAACCCCTGGAAGTTCCCCCAAAGGTGAGGGGGTTGCTCCAAAAGACCTCCCGGGACTCGGCCACCTTCTCCTCACCTGAGGCACGAAGATTTTTCAGTTGGCCTCTAATTCGGTCCTGCGACGACTACTACGGTGACAGAGAACCTGAATTTGCCTCCCGCACAAGTCCCAGCCCTGGGGGAAACTTGCGAGAACGGACAGATTGGGCCCACGTCCGCCCCAGCAACAGAGGACCGTCTGCCTTTGGTTCCGCTGCTTCCAGGCCCCAGCTGCCAAAGGGCCCCAGGAGCTCAGGGTTCCAAATGGTGCTCCTGGGGGAGGTGCGGTATATAAGTCCCTAGAATTACCAGGTTGAAATTCACTTTTACTTTTTTTTTTAATGTCTAGTGAAACTTCAAATCTCACTTTCCATTTTATCCTTCTCTCCACTCTTTTCAGTTTACTCTGAATCTGTTAAATTTCGATGTTTTAAATAACATGGCAGTTAGTATACTCTAATTTCTAACAAAAGGTGGGAATTTCTGTCTCCTTAGCACTATGTGTTTGGAAAGTTTTGGTTCTTTTCCCTTCATTTCGTTACAAAATACGCCAATTTCTTGTCCTTTCTGTTGTACGCCTTAATGTCTTGCCAAACTAGAGAAGCCAGCTGGCATAGTAAATCTACAATTCCTTAAAAATATGGACTTCAAAATCTGAACACTGTTAAATGGTAAGTGTAAGGCAGAATTTAAAGTTAAATGTAAAATAAGCATTTAGATTAGGTGTGGAAACACCTGTGAGACTAGTCAGCCTTATACAGGGTGGGTATCAAAAATGACGAAATTTAAACACTTCTACTTATTCACCAATGATCAGTGCACCTTTACAAGAAATTGGTAATATATGCCTATTTTCAGACTACATTAAGATAGCATCTTAATATCACTTAATCTAGAAAGTATTTCAGAAACAAATGACTCCATTCCGAATTCGCTGGGTTGTACCCTTCAACAGAAATATTTTCCTTTAGAGATTTTCTGAAAACTTCAGTTTTCTCTTCAGTAAAATGAATAGTATCTACATCTCATGGACTGTTTCGAAAATTAAGTAACCAGATAACATATATAAAATTAATAAATGTCCAGGACATCAAAGGTAAAGTACTATAGAGTGAGTGCATATTGAAATAAAATTAAAAGTCTTCTCAATTTTATTACCAAACCCAGCACCATACAAATCACTATCTCATTAGCTAAGATATATGTAATACAGCCAGCAATTAGTAGCTTTACTGATGCTCTATCCAGTGTTCAGAAAGAATCTTATAATATGAATCATATACAATACATAGTGTTTCTGATTTTCAATAGTAAATAAATGTCTATAATATGAGCGTTTCCCCTACATTGTTTCACTTATAATACTCTGCATTTGGTGTTGTGCCATCCTGTATATATGGTGATGCTGAATCACTAGAGCATAAGCTCTGAGAGCGCAGGGATTTTGACTCAATTGTGTGCTATTATGTCTTTAAAATCTACAATCAATAACTGCTGAATGAATGGATACAACAATAGTAACATAAAGGACAACAATAAAATTCAGATCATACTATTAAAAATATCCTAATAAAAGATGAATTCTCTTAGCGAACACATTTACCATTTATTTCCAGGTATTTTTTTTCTTTATAAAGTGTACATTCTAAAATACTACCTACAACCCAGGCTTAAAAGCCCATTGCATCCAATAATGAACTAAGCCAATAAATTTAAATGAATTTATTTTATAATGTCATCATTAGAAAGAAATGTAAAAAACAGCCATACAACAAATAGTTTCAGAGTCAGCACTAAGGGAGTAGGCCTGGGGTTCCTGAGAAATGAAGCCTGGGGCCTCAAACCAAAGTCCTGAACTTTCAATTAACTGAGGCGAATTGACCCCAGTTCGGTCCAACTGAAAGTGGTTGGAACAAACAAGTCCCTATACCTTCCAGATTATGGGACCTGTGTCTTGGAGGCCTCACTACTCAATAGAGAAAAGGAGAAAACAAATACCCAGAACCCATTAATCCACACCCAACAGGCTCCGCCTCTCCCCCTAGCAGAGAGCACCGCCAACCCCTGCCCGCACCCATCTCACTCACACCCAGAACCCTGGGACCGGAACCCGCGCCCACGGTCTGAAGGCTGCCTGAAGATCCCAGGTGGCAGCTCCGGCCTAGCCCCGCCCACCTCGGCCAACGCCTCCGGAAACTGCCGTGCGAGTTGCCACGGTGACACGGAGCCAGGTAGCTTCCACTGCAAGGGGCCGCTGAGACGCCGGGCGCCAAACTGCAGCGCGCCACGGCCACGTCCGGCGTGATGACGTCACGAAGACGGCAGCCAATGAAACGAGGCGCTGAGAAAGCTGGCTTGGGTTTGAATCTCGTGGCTGAATTTGAATCGTCGAGAGGCGGACATTGAAGTGAGGCGTCTCCGTAACCTCTCCTGGGCCTGAGGTGAGTTAAAGGCAAGAGAAGAAAACTTTCGTCTCGGGGACGTTTTTTCGGATGACCCGTCTCGCAGGAAGCGGAGGGGTCCCTCCGCCTCAGGGATAGAGGACCAAGTGGGCTTGTTGACAAATACAAAAGCGTTAGGTGGGGAGGTGGGTGTGGGGACAGGGGTGGGCCTGGTTAGGCTCCCAGTGGAGAAAGTGAAAGGAAGAAGGAACTCGAGAACCCACTAGAATGTGGCTCTGCCTGATCGGGAGACCCCGACT